TTTATAAGTGCCACGGATTTGTTTCTCTAGTCAACTCAACCTAACACAGATATAATTGCTGGCTTAATATGGATCTTGTTTGAAAGAAGAGAATGCCAGAAAGATATTTATTTGTGTTTTATGAACTATGTTAAGGCATTTGACTATGTGGATCATAACAAACTACGGATAGCTTTGAGAAGAATGGGCATTCCAGAACACTTTGTTGTGCTTTTATAGAATTTTTATATGAGTAAAGAGGTGATTATGAAATAGACAAGGGAATACTGCATGGTTTAATGGTATGCATCAAGGTGGTATCCTTTCATGATTCTTATTCAATCTGTTTGCTGAGCAAATAAATAGAGGCACTGGAACATATGAAGAATTCAGCATCATGACTGCAGGAAGCTTAGTAAAACAACCCGTGACATGCAGATGATATTGCTTGCCGAAAGTGAGGAGGATTTGAAGCACTTTTTGATGAAGATGGAGGAATGCAGCCTTCAGTATAGATTAGTACTCAATGTAAAAAAAAATAAATGACAAGATCTAGACATATGGTCCAAAAGGTAACATCAGGATAAATGGAGAAAAGATTGAAGTTGTCAGGGATATTGTCTTGCTTGGTTCCAGAGCCAATGCTCATAGAAGCAAAAGTCAAAAGATCAAAGGATGCATTGCTTTGAGTAAATATGCAGCAGACAACCTGTTTAAAGCATTCAAAAGCAGGAATGTTATTTTGAGGGCTAAGGTACACCTGACCCAAACCATGGTATTTTCAATCACCTCATATATATCTGAAAGTTGGAAACAAAAAAGAAGACCAAAGAACAATTAATCCATTTGAATAATGGTCCTGCCAAAAAATACTGAAAGGACCAGGGACTGCCAAAAGAACAGACACATTTGTGTTTGAAGAAGTACAGACAGATTGTTCCTTAGAGGCAAGGATAGTGAGACTCCATCACACATACTTTTGACATGTTGTCAGGAGACCCCGTGCCTAGAGAACATCATGCTTGGCAAAGAAGAAGGGCAGCAAGAAAGACACAGGCCCTCAACAGGAAGGATTGACACAGTTACTGAAATATGGGCTCCAAGATAAGAGCAACTGTCAGCGTTTCCCAGGACTGACTAGAACAATGTTTCCTTCTACTGTGCATAGGGTTATTAGGAATCAGACTGGCGCAGTGACATTTAACAAAAACAATAATATTATAGGCCCAACGAGAGAGATTCTGGTTTCAGGTATATGCCACAATCGTAGTGAGTCCAGGTATTTTCATCAATTTTTCTACTAATATTATTCTTTACATTATGTTTTAAAAAGTAAGCACTAAGTAGGGTGGTTATGGATGCCATTTTGGTTGTATTCTGTACTTTGGGTTTTGCAATTGTTTCATTTTTTAATAGCATTCAATAATGTATATATGTGCATATACAAGGGTATATAAATGGATTTTTTTCAGCTATGTAATTAAAAAACAAAACCAAAAAAAACCTATCACCTTCAAAGTGCTCTCCATTACACTTTACGCATTTGTCAAACTTGTGATTCTATTCTTGGAAACATTTTTCAAACTCATCTTTTGGGATTGCTGACAGCAGCTCCCTCATTATATATTCACCTCTATGCCATCAAATCAATGCCTTTTCATGTCCCCCTTCATTTGCAGAAACAAAAAGAAGTTTTATGGAGTGAGGTCAGGAGTGTAAGATGTGTAGAACAAGAGAGGCATGCTGTTTTTTGCCAAAAACTGGTGCACCGAGATGACTGCATGAGCAGGTGCATTGTCGTGGTAGAAAAACCAGCCTGTCTGCCACTAATCAAGCCTTTTTTGTTGAACAGTGTTATGTTATCTTTTCAGCTTGATTAAGAGTCTGATCTGGTGGAACAAACTCCAAATATACTAGGAGTAGATATTTTCATCCATTTGTAAAGGTGATGGACATCCAGAATGAGGTTTGTCATCAATCAACATTTCACCTTTTGGAAATGAGAAACCCAGTGGTACATGAGATTTTTCCCATAGCACGATCCTTGTAAGCTGTGTTGAACATCACAACAGTTTCTGTGCCATTTTTCCCAAGAGGGAAACAAAATTTTAAAGCTGCACGCATTTCTCTTAAGTTGGGAATCACAAAATAATGAGGTTCCAATGAAACTGCTTTTATGAAAAAAAAATTCACTGTGACCGAAGAGAACCTTCTCAGTTGATGCCGCTGTATACACTAACTCACAGGATGTTACCTGATGCTCGCCTAGTGGGAAAAATGCATACTATGAAAAAAATGCTGGTGTGGTTTTTGGGTTTTTTGGTGGGGGGGGGTGTACACCCTTGTATATTTGCTTATTTATGCGGACCTGTAGAAAATTTTTTTCTACTTGACTTAATAGGTCAAATGATTTTGCAGATTTTGAGAAGTTGCTAAATTTCACTTGAAAGAGGTTATATTTTTTTCAAATAATGTCGTAAATAATAAATTTGCTTGATCAACATTTAAGTATTGGAATATATCAAAGCTGGCTTCATGAGAATCTCCTTTGAAGGAAATTATTATTTGTTGACCCTACTCCTGGACAAAACTCTTCAATTTCCAAAGCAATCTATGAATACTCCCTCAAGCCCAGAATTCTTGGACATTTTTTCTTCTTCTCACTGCTAGCAACTGAGTATATGGAAAGTTCTTCTGAGTACTCCTGTCTTTCATCTTATGTTCACCTTCTTAGTCCCTTACTTATCTCTTTCTCTAAAACTAGTAAACATTTTTACTTGAAAATTGCTCCAAATATTTGGAATCACCTCTGGGAGTTAACGTCTTAGTTTGGACATTGGAACATAACTCTTTATTTCTTTATTGTCTCTCGAATTCTTCAAGTAATTTTTCAGATGAATTTATTATCATGCTATATCATTTAGTTGTATAATTTGGACTGAAATTCATTAGACACATGAGTGACAAAAATTTAAGTAAGTTTAAAATGTAATACCAATACTTAAAGGCTTGAAGATAAGCAAGTAGCCATCAAACTGAGAAGCAATCAAGCTCACATGGAAGAAGCACACCAACCTGTGTGATCATGAGGTGTCAATGGGATTAGGTATCACACATCAAAGATCTAGTACAAAAAATCATATTGATGTGAATGAGAGGGAGGGTGGAGTGGAGACCCAAATCTCATCTGTAGACAATTGGACATTCCTTCAAAAAGGATCACAAGGAAGAGACGAGCCTATCAGGGTACAG